CACAACTAAAATATTGTAGACTTCCATGGATAGCATTTCAAAAAAGTGAAAAAAAATGACCTAAAGAATGGAAATAAATATTTGCAAAATTATATAACTGATAAAGGACCAGAGTCTAGAATATATAAAGAATTTTCACAACTCAAAAACTGGGCAAAGGATCCAACCAGACAGTTCTCTAGACCACATATACAAATGGCCAATAAGCACATAAAAAGATGTTCAACATTATTAGCTATCAGGGAAATAAATGCAAATCAAAACCACAGCAAGATGCTGCTTCACACCCACTAAGCTGGCCAGAATGAAAATGACAGGCAATAACTTCTGTTGGTAAGGGGGAAAGAATGAAGCCCTTAGATATCCCCTGCTGGTGGGAATGTAGAGTGTTACTACCACTGTGGAAAACAGTCAAGCAGTTTCTCAGGGTAAAGACAGAGTTAACGTGTAATCCAGCATGGGACCCACTTCTAAACATGATCCACTCCTAGAGGAATTAAAATGTGCTTCCACTAAAAATTACATACACATATGTTCACGTACAAGGCAAATTTGTCAGCTCTCACCACTTCTATTCAACATGGTAAATAGCTACTTAATTAAGACAAGAGAAGCAAGAGGCATTGCATCTTCAGCCTGGGATGTACAAATTGCGGTATATCCACAAATGGAATATCATTAAACAATAAAAAGGAATGGACATTGGTGGGGAAGCATCATGGATAAGTCTCAGTTACTATGAATGAAAGCAAGCCACAACCAAACACGAGTTTACATCGTCTACTTCTGTTTATATGACACCCTCAAAAAGAGCAGTCTAGTCTGTAAAAATAGAAAATAGATCATACTTATGTCACTAAGGGAGTGAAGATGAAGGAGAGATGAGAGCAAAGGATTACAGAGGAACACAAGGACAGCTGAGGTGATGGATATATTCACTCTCAACTTTGATAGTTCTATGGGTAAATCCACCTGTCAAAATTTGTAACAAAAGTGTGCCCTATAAATATGTGAGGCTTATTATATATGTCAGTTAGGCCTCAATAAATGTGTTTTCAAAAACTCACTATATTTTCAGATTGGTGTATTTCACTGCATATAAATCATACCTTACTATTTTCGTTTTGTGTTTTTTTTTTAAAGCACTCAGAGAAGTCACTCTACCTTGACCTGGAGTGGCTGGGCAGCCGTCAGCATCACCAGTCAGTGCACCTTTGGGCTGATCCCTTTTCTCTCCAGGAAGCAGTGTTCACTTGTCAAAATCTTGACCGGGTGGGCTCAGAGCTCCGTGAGGCCCTGGTGTCTGTGCTGTAGTCAGTCTACGGATGAAAGAAGAGCCCCAAGTAAACAGCCACGGCAGAGGGTTAAATCAGGCCAGATTTTCAGTTCAATCTCTGAGACGAAGCTTGAGCCACTTTAAATTCCATTAATCTATCCCTGTGTGTTTGCACAGCAAAGAACCTGTTGGACTTAAAGTACTGATCTCAGAGCCGTGGCCAGGGAGGATGGAGATGGCAAATATTGACGCTGGCGGCCTGGGTTCTCGCTGCAGGCTGTGGCATTAAAGCCCCTGCTCTGCTGTGGTGAAAGGCGGAGGGGCCTGGCTGACTGCCCTGGGCTCTGTGTCTTTCCGGACCCAGCTATGGAGTGCTGTTGGGAGGTTGCTATGCAGCCTGCTTTCTTCTGAAAGGAAGAGCCAATAACACAAAAAGAACAAACCTGTTCTGTGTGCACCAGCCACCTCCTGCTTACAGGCTGTGGCCCCTGGCTCAGGCTCTAGTTTTCTCTTCCAAGTAATCCTGGATGAGGAAGAACAAGACGTCGAGGAGGGGCTATGTTAGGCTTTGGACTCAGGCCTAGCAAGGTTTGGTTGTGGCTCCCTCACTTAAAAACTGTCATTTATAAAGATGCTGTGGCACAGCAAGTTGGAGCGCAGCACTGTGAAGGTGGACGTGGCCCTTTCAGTTTGAGTTCAATCCCCAGCCTAGAGGTGACCCACAAGGCCCAGCAGACCTCTCCTGTCTCGCCCACTGCTCCCCTCAGCAGTGTGCTTTGTCCATCTGCCTGTTCTTCTCCCTACTCTCTCTGGTGAATCCTCTCACGGGCCCTGCACCTCTGGCCTGTACCCCAGTTCTGTATGCATAAATACATACTCTTTAAAAATAAAAAAAAAACTTAAGGAAGCAAGTTTATGTGAATAACCAAATCAGGTTTCTAGAATAATTTTGAGGACTAGAGAAAATGGAATACAGGAAACAAGACATAGAAAAGATCACCATAGCACATGGCATGTCCTGAACAGTGGGCTGTAAGTATTAGTTGAAGCCCACACAGTCCTAACACTGCCTTTCTTCTACGTGTAGTTTTAGGGCCTCTAATTATTGATCACATTCCAATCCTTCGAGACAGTGTGGCCATGACATCCTTACTCCTGACGAGGAGGAAAGCCTTCTATCTTGGAAGGAGGAGTCCAATGTGTTCCCCCTGCTGAAAACCTGCTAGCACCTGGCCCAAAGTCACATTCACTCTCTGCATGCCCAGAATCCAGGCTTTCTTGAAGCCCAAGGCACTATTTCACACCCCAAGAGCAGTGGGGGTCCTCCCTGCCCCACACCCTGAAGCTCGTCAGCCTGGACTGCTATGTCTGTATTTTCCACTGGGCTCATCCAACCCCTTTCACCTCCCTGATCAGGCATCACCATCATTAGAAGCTTCTAGGCCTCTTGAGACAGCTTAAAACCAAGCTGTGCCCAGCCACCATGGCCCTCACCAGTCACCCACCCTTCAAAAGACCCCTGCAGAGCCTCGTTAACAGTGGGGATGAAGGTAACACTGCTGCTGAGCGTAGTGCCTGGCTCATAGTCAGCACCTGCCAGGAACACGCCACCTACATGGCGGAGGCGGCTTTTAGTGCTTGCCTGCTACTGGCATGCTGAGCAGACATGGGCACATTTCCTCAGTCTGGGTTCCTTCATCCAGTAAAATGAAGCACCTAGACTCCCTGGGGCCATGAGAGGGCTCAACTGGGGAGCAGGATAAAATGCAACTGGTGACAGTGCCCCTGGGCATTTCCCTGAGAAGAGTTGCAGGCACTGAAGAGGCCCAGGACAGGATGACCACCTGCCTTTCTCCTAGGGGGGCCCCACAATGCACCACTAGCCCTGCTGGAAACTGGGCTGTGAGCTCATGTTCCCACAGCCTCTCCCCAGCAGCATTGTTTCAGCAACCTACCTCAGGGCTTCAGGAACATACTGGCATGTGAGTGCCAGAAAGGGTCTCTAGATACTTCAACCCTGTTTCCCTGGAGATCCACATCCTGCTGGAGGAGGCATGGCCTGGGCTGAAAGGTCAAGTGCCGCTTCTCAGGCCTCCTGCTCCTCTTGCTGCGCCTCTCACACCCCACCCCACCCCATAAGCCCTGAGGCTCATGTGTTCCAGCAGTAGCTCACCCTTGCCACATCACTCTACTCCAGCAGTAGGCCCAAAACTGGCCTCTCTTCCTGGACTGTGGTCATTAAAGGTCACTGAGGCTCCGACGGTGTCCTGGTGTTGATGATACCGCTGCCCTCAGAAGGAAGCGTCTATGATGGGTGCTCCCACACTTCTTTCACCAGTCTCTCAACAGGGACACCCCTCTCTTCCTTGGAAACTCACCCACTCAAATGCCCCTTCTCTGGGAAAGAGGGCACCTCATGCTCAATTGTCGGAGCGGAGGATGCCTTGAGCACACCTGCCACAGCTTGCTGGTGCCGCTAGTGGAGAGATACACAGCTAAAGAGGCCACACCTGGGCCAGCTGCTCTGGGCAGGTGTCCGAGGCCCCCAACCAGGAGCTGGTCTTCAGGTCTTTGCAGTCAGACGTGATTGCGTCCTGGTTGCCGAGGCCCCTCCTGGGTGCTTTCAGCTCAGAATTCCCCGTCACCCACCTCTTCCTCCCTGGTGTGAGGTGCCCCTACCCCCAGGTACTCCTTGTGTCCTGGGGTCCAGCTCTCACCCCCCAGGTGCCCTGCACTTGGCTCGGCCCCACGCAGGGGCACAGGGCCTGTTCAGTCAGTGAGTGAGTGAATGAATGCCACAAACATCTGTCTCTTAGGTGCAAGTTCAAAACTCGCAAGAGGCTGACACATGAAACCAGTTTTATTAATTTCCGCTCCGTCTGTCTCTTTCAACAGGAACACTCAGATTCCACGTGTCTCTTTCAGAATAAGGAAGGGGTGCTTTCTGATCCTCAAACTCCTTTTTTTAACCCCCACAGAGACTCTACCCTGCCAGGTATAATCATGCGGGCAGCAGGAAAGCTTTGCGCTGGGACGCTGACACACCATAGGCGGGCCTGAGCCCCAGTTCCAGCACGGCCCTTGCCATTTGATCCAAGGAAATCGGTTCTACCTCTAGGCCTCCTTTTCCTCATCTGTTTAATAGGCTGTCTGTGTTGCGAAACTGGAAAGACCTGCAGGAGAACAGCTTATTCACTCAAGCTCTGGCACCAAAACGCAGTATCTGCTTCCAGATGCTGGGGCCATTTGGCTGAACAGCTGGTCACAGGTGGAGGGTGAGGAGTGGCATGGCAGAGAATGGGATGGACAGGAGGACAGTGAGGACCCTTTCCCTAGGGTGTCACTCTTTCCCTAGACTGTCTATGCAGCTCAGCGCCTTCTGGAGTGGCTTCCCATGGGCAAGATGACAGATAACCTATCTCAGGTACGATTTTATGTGAGCTGTCAGTGGGTTGACCAGTAGGCCAGGGTTACAGAGTTGAGGAAAATGTTAAGGCTGCATCCAAGCACAGCAGTATTGGCCGTAGGTATCAAAGGATGGGAAGTGCCATACCCTTCACATGTGTCATTCTACGTGAGTGCCAGACTCAAGGAGCGACAAAGTCAGAGTCTACAGATCCAAGCAGAGGAACAGATCTGCTCTGTGTGGACCCAGCAGGTTCCCCTCATCTTTGTTAGGAGCTGACATGGTAGTAAGCTCCCTGTCACTGGAGACATTCAAGCAGAGGCTGGACAACTGAAAGGAGGAGAGGCAGTTCTGTTCACCAACGACAGTACATCGGCCCCTCTAGGTGACCTCGTAGGCCTTTTGTGTTCCCTCGCAGATCCTTGTGTTCGCAGATTCAGGTGAAAGGCAACGGGTGCCATTGCAACCGGCCTCTCTGGCCTGGGTACCCGCTCAGGGTCCAGGACAGGAGTACTCGTCAGACCAGTCAGAACAGTGCTGCACTCGGTCCCTGCAGAGGCGCCTCGGGATACAGTCACAGTACTCGAAGACAATTGAGGGGCAACGCCACCACCCAGGGCTGCAGGGTGGACACACCGTCACTGAGGAGACAAGAGCCCGGGGAAGTGCAGCTGTGCGTCCAGGGTAAACCCTATCTCTGAACCCTGCGGGGCTCCCCAGAGCCCTGCCCCATCCCCCATGGGTTGACTATTCTTAGTTTCCTCTGGGAGAACCTAGAGGCCCCTCCCAATTCAAGGAGTGTACGACCTCAAACAAGCTTCCCACTCTGCTTGAGCTTCAGTTTCCTCATCCTTGAGGTTACTAGGTAACCTCAAAGTGGTTACTAATTAGTAGGAGAAGATAGACCAAGTGCCAGAGAGATGGTCCAGGCCCACATATTAACAGATGCGATTGTTTCCCATGCCTGCCCTCCCTTCTTCCCCTGACAGGGCCACAGGAGCCAGCCAGCCGCCTCCCCTCCTGAGAGTGCCTCACAGGTTCCCTCCTCTGCCCTGGACCCTGGCCTGCAGCATTCTCTCCTGCACACCCGGTCTCCTCTTGGTGAAATCATGCCCATGCTCTAAGGTCTGCTTGAAAACTGCCTCTTCTAGGAAGTCTCAGTCCCCCTCACCATCTCCTGCCAGAACCAAAACCAAACCCCAGGGCCCCAGTAGTTCCTCCCCAAGCAAGATGAGTCCTGGGGGGACACACACGTTTCACGGCTAGCTGTCTCCCAGCAGAGCGGACACTGGCCCAGCCTGCCATAAATGTGCTCAGAGCATGTTGATGAAACACCGGGGCCAAGTTGGAAAGGAAACCAGGACAGTGAAAGGACTCTGAGCTGGGGTTCAGGAGATCTGGGCTGAAAACCAAACTCCATTCCTATCATGTAGCATATTAGGTCGCCTACCCTCTGGGGTCAATTAAATTGGAGCCAGCGATTCTTGTTTTGCTTTTCTCATAGAATTGTTGACAGCTATATATCTACTTATGTGAGCAGCTGGGTTCCTGTTTCCTTATCTGTACTCTGGAAGGTATGTTGCCCACCACAAAAATGACCTCCAGAGGCTGGTGTGACAGCAAGCACCTGTCTGCTGGAAGCATTCAAATGGGGGTAGAAAACTTCTTCACACAATATAAGGAGGGGAGTCCGGGGGACCCCAGAAAATCCCTAGTCAACCTCTGGTCCCCTGTTTTAGCCCAGACTGTGCCCAGACACCCACCTGGGCTCCGTTCATCTGAACAGTCCCCACAGTTGTTGGTCCCATCACACTTTTGGTCTGAATAGATCCAGGAAGCGGGGTCTCCACAGCGGGCCACGAGGAAGCTGGGGAGGCCCTGGGGCACATCTCCTACAGAAGGACAGATGAGGCAGGAAGAAGTCTACAACTAGCCACAGCTCTCTCAGGGCTGTCTGGAGGTGAATTGTATTGGCCGAACTTGGGCTCACTCCCCATCCACCCCAGGAGGGCCCTGGAGTAGGCCCTGAAGTAGGCCCTGGAGATGGGTCCCTGGGGAGGAGTACCTGGGAGCGAGGAGTCATTGTTCTTTGGACTGGCCAGCGCTTCTGAGCCTCTCCAGGGAGAGGGGCCGGCACTGATATGGGGAGTGTGGCTGGGGTGAGGAAGGCCAGGCTCTGGGGGTGACTGTGGAAGTTCTGAGTGTGGCCAGGGGAAGGAGGCGCTGCTGGAGGGCGGCAAGGAGGCAATTTTCGAATCCCACCCGCACCTCCATCCTGGGAGATAGATTAAAACATGGCCCGTGGGGGGCAGGTCAAGGAGAGGACAGAGTTGGAGCCCATCAAAGATGCTACTAGGAGGCAGCCAGGAGCGCAGCCCAAAGGAGACATTCCCCATGTAAGGCCGTTCAGGGGCGGGATGCGGGCCCACATCATGGTGAGTGGCCCATCACTGTCACCAGAGTCTGCCAGCGGAGGCTGGGCGGCCTGTGCTGGGTTTTGTCATAGAGAGGATTTGGGCATGAGCTGGGATGTGGCTAGATTGCTTTAAGATCTAGTTTTGAGGGTCCAGGGTGCAGTGATCCTCCCCCCACTAGCACCCCCACACCAACACTACTTCACCAGGCTGTCTCCATCCTACAGAAACTACCTACTCCCTTAAATCCATGGCGCCTCTCTCCTGTCAGATCTCTCTGGTCTGGGACCAGCTCTTCTCATTCGTCCATTTATTCATTTACTCATTGAGTGGTCACTTAGCAACTCATTCCAGATACCCCTCTATGCCATGCCCTGTGCCAGGCACTGGGACACCAAGATCAAGCACACCAGTTCTGACCCAGCGGAATTCAGTCTGAACTGTGACAGATGTGCTAATCAAGGGTGACAGTCACTGTAACTGGCACTGAGACACCTGAAAGCACAAGAAGTGTGGGAACCCAAAAGAGGGGACTTAGCCTACACTGGGAGTCAGGGAAGTCTTCCTGGAGGAGGTGACAGTTGAACTCTGCCTTGAAGGATGAATACAGTTTCTCTGAGTGCAGAGATCAGACAGTAAAGTTGTTCCGTGGTGTGGGCATGATGTGTGCCTGACTGGGACAGCATGGGGGCAGCTGTTTCTGGCTGAGAGCACCGCCATATAAGCAAAGACTTGGGGGTATGAAAGTGCTAGAATATTCCAGAACAGTTGAACTTCAATATGGCAGCAGGTAGAGTGGGAGTCAGTGGCGAGGGGGGTTGGGGTGGGGGTGGCGGTGTTCCCCTGGAAAGGCTCACTGGGGCAATGGTAAGTACTCACGGCACAAAGCCTCGTCCTCATCCTCACCATAGGCACAGGTGCGGACACCATCACAGACCCCACTGGCTGGGATGCAGCTCCTTCGGTCATGGCACAAGAAACCCGTCCTGTTTGCTAGTGTCATGCAGGTCTGGGCCCCTGAGAAGGCAGGGGAGGCCCCAGAGGGTCAAGAGTGACACTTGCAAGGGTATCCCAATCCCAAATTTTCACACCCACATCCCATCCTGAGTGCGTGGGGGAGCAGGGCAGAGGTAGTGGGCTGGGCGCTGGAGATGGACTCCAAGCCTTGGCTCTCCTGCTGGCCAGTTTCATGAACTGGCAGATGATTGACCCCTCTGAATCTGAGAGGTCTTGTCAGCAAAGTATGAGCAGAGCGAACATCCCAGGGGACAGAACAGACGCCAGACTATACACAAGCTTATGTGCTGACAATCCTAGAACGTGGTGCGTGGGGTGAGCCAAATCTCCTTCCCCGTTTACTAGAAAGCTTGTTGACTGTCTTATAGGAAACTCTGGAGGACAAGCTCGACTCAAGGAAGTGGTAGTTGATGGGGGAGTTTCTGGTGCCAGGTTGGGTGTCGGAAGCCATATATTGGAGCTGGCTGGGCACCTTTATAATCTCTATTCCTGGGCACAACTTCACAGCCTGCAAAACATGTTCACATTTTCGTGTTCTAGCTGGGAAACTAGGACTTTAGAGAGGTTTGACAGACGAGGTACATGGCCAGTAACCCCAGCATGCTGACTGCCTTTTCCCGAAGCTGGGCTGCCCCACCCTTTCCCGGAAAGGTGGGGAGCCCTCTGAGGGTCTTTCTCTGAGGATGAAGTTGGGAGACACATGCCCCTTGGTCTGCTACAAAAAACAAAAGGAGAGAAACTGGCAGATGAAGTGGGAGGTCGCCCTGGCCCCACAGACTGCACATGCGCATATAGGTGTGTGCAGGTCACATGTGGGAAAGGGTGTGTATCTGTGTTTGTGCTCACATGAACCACATTTAGCTCCTAGAATGGCCTTGGCCTCCGTGATGTTCTTCCTTACCTGGGGCCCGGGGCCAGGAACGGCTTCCTTACAGGAGGTACACGAGGGAGGCCCACACACTCTCCTTGCCTTGCACATGCAAATATACACACATTGATGCACATGAACATACACAGGCTGCACACACAAGGCACGTATGTGCACACATGGGCACACACAGCCACCCTGCAAACACCGGCACACAGAGACACGCTTTAACAGAGGGATGCGGACATGCACGTGCAGACACGCAGGCACGTGAATGCAGTTCCTCACATGTTCACGCCAACCTTCAGTGCCCATGTTCCTCCACGGGCACCGAGAGGGGGTTCTACCCTCAACCCTACCTTGTCCCATTCTCTCCCACACCGGAATGCAGATGGCAGCTCTGGTGACACCTGCCCCCAGCTTACCTCCTTCCAAGGCTCTCTAGTGGGGACCAGGGTGCCTTTGAGCCTGTGAGCCCTGGGCTGTGCCCCACCCACAGCTCTAGCACCTTCTGCCCACTGGCATGCTCATGTCCCCCCTCCCCCACCTGAGGGACCCTGCATGTGTTCCCTGTGCCTGGAGTGCTCCTCTTGACCAGCTCCTCCTTTCCCATCAAGCCTCAGCCCCCTTTTACTTCTCAAGGTACCCATCCGACACCTAAACTAGGTCAGAGCCTGTCCAGATCCTCAGAGACCCCATTAGCCCTGTATCCCCATGCTTATTTGATTACTGTCCATGTCGCTTCCAAATGTTTAGCTCCATGAAGGCAGGAACCATGCCGAGTTGTACCCCTGAATCCAGGGATGCAGCATGGAAGGCACACACCCATGTTCTCTGCGGTCAAGGCCCAAACACAGCCCGGCCAGGCTCAAGGAAGAGGAAGCAGGGAAGCTGTAGGAGCTGAGATGAGGCTCCCAACCCCATCTGGATGTTAGGGAAGGCTTCCTGGAGGCGGTGACATCAGAGTTGGGTCCTCTCAACAGCTCATGTCACAGATCTGGTGGCTCAGAGTAGCCTGTGTGGGGGCCTGTCTGTGCACATACCTTAAGGAATTGTCCAAAATTCCCTTATTGGCAAAGCCAGGCAGCGCCAGGGTTCTCCCATCTCTCTGTTCCCTCCGCGCCTCCCCAACACCCTCTCTTGACCGTGTGCGCCCTCTCTGACCTGGTGCATGAGGTGGGGGTCCAAGGATGGCGACCAGCGCGAGCAGGGCTGCAAGAGCTGCCAGCAGGAGCAGCACGGAGGCGGAGAGGCAGGCCCCTTGACGTGAGCAGCAGAGACGGCTGCAGCCTGCAGCGTGGGGCAGGAAACCAGGGATGGGGCGGCCAGGATGTTCTCTGGAGCCCCCTTCCCTTGACTCATATGAGTGCTTCCTCCCTACCTGGGGGTCTGGGACAGGAAGGGCTTCCCTGCGGGAGGGGACTCTTACGCCCTCCCTGATGCTCTGGGTTCTTCTCCCTTGCACCCATCCCACTAAGTGCCTGTCCCTGGCCTGGTGAGTAGCTGGCGAGTAGCAGTTGGCATGAGGGTCCCCCAACCTCACCTCCTGACCTTCCATGGGGCTGTCTCCTCAGGAGACAAGGAGCTATGAGTACCTACCTATCAGGCCCCTACTGTGGGACAGAAACTAAATTAAGCCCTTCACAGACATTCAAGGCATTTATTTTACAGATGAGAAAATTGAGGCTCAGAGAAGAAAAGGTCCAGGTCACCTCATCTGATGTCAAAACCATGACCTTTCCACCATGCCAGCTGATCGTCCATTCAGGAGCTGGACCTCACAGCTGGGCACCTGGGAGGTCACTTTACTCTCTGTGCCTGTTTCCTCAGGTGGAAAATAAACGGGGCCATACCTTAGAGCTGTTACTGTACCAGAAAATGTTTGTACACATTTTGTACTGTTGTAGCTACTGTTGTAGCTATGGTTACACTGTTCATTGGGCGCTTACTATGTTCCGAGCTGTAGCCTAAGCACTGTGAAAGAAGATGCCCTGCCTGCTCCTTTACTTTTTTTTTTTTTTAAAAAGATTTATTTGTACATACAGAACTGGGGGTACAGGCCAGAGGCTCAGGAGCGGTGAGAGGCTTCACCAGAGACAGAGAGGGGAGCAGAACAGGCAGATCGAGGAAGTACACTGCTGAGGGGATCAGTGGGCGGGTCAGGAGAGGTCTGCCACACCATGTGGTCACCTTCGGGGCAGGTGGGAATCAAACTCACACCGAAGTGGCTTTAGCTTCTCAGTGCCGTGCTTTAACCCGCTGCACCATCGGGGAGGGCCTCCTTTACTTTTTGTTTGCTTATGAAATCATGAAAGAAGTGGCCTGGTGTGGCTGGAGCCGGGGATGAGTGTGTGTGACAGAGGAGACTAGTGAGAGAGGTGGCATAAATATAAAACCAATATCCCTACAGCCAGTAGGCGACTCCCCTGCTGCTGCTGATGTGGTGGGTTCTTGTGTTCTAGCGAGTGAGGAATAATCACTGACAGCCTGGACTGAAGGCTGCAAGCTCAGGTTTATTGCAGGAAAGACTCCTGACAGCAGAAGGGGGCCCAAGGGAGGGTTGCTGGGGGTTGGTTTCCCCTTTAGAGGTGATTTAGGGAACTCCGCTGCTCTTAAAAGCTCCTGGGGACTTCTTTCTACTTTGGGGTACTTTTCCACTGCTCTACTTGGCCCCATCATCCCCTTTTGTCACCCAGAGGTGTGAAGCAGCCACAAGCACAGCTCTTTCCCCACACCTCTCCTGTGGCTGCCAGCCCTGCCTGCCAGCTCTGTGGCTGTTGGCCTTTGCCCACTCACCGCCTGCTTTTTCATTGACAAACACAGGGTAAGCGCTAGTAACTAGGGAGACAGTCTGAGGCTAGCAGGGCAGGTATCCTGGCTGGTCACCAGTCACTGTGCAAATCGGCTAGAGCACCCCAGCAGAGACTCCCCTCCCAAGTGAGAAAGGAAGCTCAGTGTTTCACAACCACACCCACCCTGAGCCAGGAAATAAACACACACCAGTGTGGGGCAACAGAGGTACCTGGGCTTTGCAACCTGGGGACCTCAATTAACTCTCCCATTCCCAGCTGTGGTCCTAGCTTGGTAGAGCTCCCCAAACATTTTTAGCCTTAGGTCCCTCATCTGTTACTGTCTCCTTACAAGACTCTGCTCTCAGAGCTGTCCTGAGGACTAAGTGACCATACAGTGGGCCCTCCCTGGTGGCACAATGGGTTAAAGTGCAACACTGTGAGGCTCTCTGCAGCCACTGCAGCACGAGTTCAATCCCCGGCCAGGGAGGTGACCCACACGGCGTGGCAGATCTCTCCTGTCTCTCCCCTACTCCCCTCAGCAGTGAACTTTGTCAATCTGCCTGTTCTGCTCCCTGCTCTGTCTCTGGTGAATCCTCTTAACCCCCACACCTCTGGCCTGTGACCCAGTTCTTGTGTGCATAAATAAATAACTCTTAAAAAGAGAGAGAGAGAGAGACCATACAGTGCCTGGCACGTAATAGGGGTTTGATCACCTAGATTTATAGCTATGTGTTGCTAGGCAACTCTGTACCATCACACCTAGGAGTGCGATAGGTTAGACTACCTCGGTTTGTGTAGTTGTCCTTTGGGGTGTTTGCATGACACAGTCACTAACGGCGCATCTCTCAGAATGTACACCTGACTGCTGTCGTCCACCTCTCTGGTTCTGCCTCCTTGGGGGTCAAATGTGGGCCAAGCTCAATAAATGTGTGTTCTTTCTTCTTTAATAAAGGTAGAGCTCTGTCCTGCTAGCACCCCAGTGACTCCCTTGATTTAGGTGCTAAATAAGTGTGTGATCTGACTACTTTATCCCTCAAGGGCCAAAGCAACTCGGGAGCTCTTTCTTTTATAGGTTACAGGTGGACACTCGATAAATGCTCGGGCATGGAGAAATGAACAACCCTATCTAGCAAGGGGCTGCCAGCCTGATTGGCCAGGCAGCTGGGAATAGGTGACACCAGCAGAGGACAGAAGGTGGAGGCCCAGGGGCTAGGAGAGGGAACACTCCTTTGGCCACTATAGCCAATGGCCTGATGACCTGCTAGGGTGGAAGGAGCAGGCACTGACTCCCCGACCCTCATTCTTTACCTTCCTCTCTGGGTAGGACTTTTGTTCCAGCAGTAGCGCTGCCATTGATATCCATCTGCCAAGGAAACAGAGGGAGAGGTAGGATTAGGTGGGGGAGGTCCAGCCTTGGGGAGACTGAAGAGTTTTTCAGGAGAGCCTTAGATGGAACGCCAGCTCCTCACATTTCAGCTTTGCTGAAGGCCCCACACTCATTTTGCTGGGTTCGTGTTTCTGTACTTTCACCTGTACCAAGCACTCTCCCTGGACATTTGGCAAACGTGTGTCCTTCAAGCTCACGGGCACTTCCCCCTCAGAAAGGCTTTCTCTAATGCTCCTTGCGAGGGTTCTGACTTCCTCCATAGGGTTCCAACTTCTTCCATAATTCACCACCCAACTGGATCGCTGGCTCACCTGCTGAGTCCCCTTAGAATCTGGGAGGGAGCAGGGTGGCGGTCACGTTGGTGGCTCTGGGAAGCACAGGTCTCCCTTGTTTGCTGCCCTCTCCTTACCCCAGGTGGCTCCCCCAGGTGAGGAGCCACTCTTACCTGGAGAAAGATCTTGTTCATGTCTCCAGCTCCCAGCTCCAGTCTTCAAGCAGTAGGGCCTGGAATTCCTTGAGGGAGCTCTGCCTGGTCACCAGGGGCAGCCAGAGGAGGAGCAAGACAGGCGGCCACACCCTCCCTGGGCAGTGTCCTGGATGCTTCCAGCCAAGGAGGGGGTGGGAGGGCCTGGCTGCTGCTGGCTTTTCCGAGGTTTCACAACAACCCTTCAGCAGTCCCCCCCATCTGCTCCTCCGAGGACCCTAGGGGGAGAAACTGCTCCAAATCCAATAGAGAGCAGGAGAGAGGTGTAAACCTAGGAATATTTCAGGATGAGTTCTTCCTCCCTATCAGTGACGAGATGGAGGATCTCAGGCTTCCTAACTCAGGAAGATACAGGCAGAATTAACATTTCAGTAGCTAAAAAGCAGATGTCATTTCTCGTTGATGTTCTTCAGTTCAATTAAGAAATTATTCCCCACAAAAATTAGATAGCAGATATAATTTTTAATTATTGTCTTAAAAAAATGGCCAGGCCCTCCCTGGTGGTGCAGCAGGTTAAAACAGCACTGAAAAACTAAAGCCACTTCCGCATGAGTTTGATTCCCGCCTGCCCCGGAGGTGACCACATGGCGCGGCAGACCTCTCCTGACCCGCCCGCTGCTCCCCTCAGCAGTGTACTTCGTAGATCTGCCTGTTCTGCTCCCCACTCTGTCTCTGGTGAAGCCTCTCGCCGCCCCTGACCTCTGGCCTGTACCCCAGTTTTGTATGCACAAATAAATAAATCTTTAAAAAAAAATGACCATATACATTGTGATTTTTTCCAGAAATGGTGTCGATGATGGGCAAGGGGCAGGGCAGTTTGCTTACCTGACTAAACCCTTCTACCTGCCCACTTAGCAGTTACAGTCCCTTCCTCCCTTGTCTTCTCCCGGAGATAGGGAGGGGGGTCCATCTCCAGAAATTAGAGGGCTTCAGAGGAAGGCCCTCTGCAGCCTGCTTCTGATTCCTCTGGTGGTCCGACCCGTGGCTGGTCTTTTCTTTTGCTTTGTAATATAACCATCCCATCCGGAGGCATGGAGGTGCGTTAAATGGGCACCTCCAGAAAGCAGCAGCAGGAGAAAGGGCTTAACCCGAGGCCAGGAGGGTGGGTTCTCCTGAGGACCCGGTGTTGGCTTTGCCCCGTGAGTCACTTCCTTCGCTGGCCTGTTCCTTCTACCATAAGATAAAATGACTAGACCAAATGAAGACAGTGTCTTGGTTGGGAGGTTGGGAGCTCCCCATCATCAGACCCAAGGTCCAGATTTCAAGGCAAATATACACTGACCTCTGAACAACATGGGTTTGAACTAAGAGGGTCCACATATACTTGGATTTGTTCAATAAATGTCAATGAATCAAGTTTTTCAGGTTGTCTTTTCATTTTTTGACACCTCATGTTAGTAACACATAACACATCTACAGTGTTTTGTATCCCATGAGACAATATTGATGTAGGGTACTGACAGATGGTTCATCTTGTAAGCAGACGGTATTGCTAAATATAGTCCAGCATTGTAAATGTGCTTTCTCGTCCTTATGATTTTCTTAATAACATTTCCTTTTCTCTAACTTAATAAAGTAAGAATATAGGCTCTAATACAAATAACATACAAAATATGTATTAATTGACTATTTATGTTATTGGTAAAGCTTTGAGTCAACAGTAAGCTATTAGTAGTATTAGTAGTGAAGTTTTGGCGGGGTGGGGGGATTCAAAAACTATATGTGGATTTCAAATGCTTGGAGTCACAGCACCTAACCCCAGACTGTTCAAGGGTTAATTGAAGATTTAACTGGGAGTGACCCTGCAAAATACCTGGCAGGGAGTGAGATGAGAGACAGGGACAGGAGGAGCCAATAATAGGAATGTTCTCCAGGAAGTTCCCACTGTGGGCAAATGGAACTTCTGCTAGAAATTTTGGGAGCCAGGAGGGAAGATGCACCTCATAGTTACCTACAGGAGGCTGAGGAAGCTAGGGTGCTGACTTGCTGGTCGTTGACTGAGAGCTGGGACCACAGGCCTGCGTCAGGCTGGGACTGCTTCTTTGCCTACGCTGGTTTAGAGAAGGCTAAGTGGGCACAATTAGATGGCCGCTGAGCCGCCTGGCAGCCCAGGCTGGCTGCCTCTTTGAAGCTGTTTCCTCAGCTCTAAAATGGGGGTGGGGGTTTCACATCTCCTACAGGGACATTGTAAGAACTCTTGAAGGTCTTTGTAGAAGTCATGGGGAATCTGCAAACTACATCATGAAAAATCATGCATTTATAGGTAGTATTAGAATGCTGCCTAATACAGAACATCCATGTTTTATTGAAGTTTACATGCTTAACCATTAAAAAACAGATGTGAAGCTCCAATAATGACTGCTTGATGGTATGTCTTGAGGTAACATTATCAAGAGCTTGTATTGAAACCTCTCATTTCTAATCAATCCCTGATTTCTTTCCACCCAAGCCTTCAATCACTGCTGTTCAAGCAAAACAACTCAAGTATAAAAAGCACATAAGAGGCAGTAAAGTAAGTCCCAGTAATTTAGAACTGAACAAGCAAACAAAATTTTTTTGCCTTAAAATGACAAAGTAAAATTAAACAACTTCTTAAACAGGATTTCAGTAAACTTTGTTGGGAAAAAAATTAAGTCGTTAATTTCACTAACATTGGACCTGAAAAACAGCAGTTCCTTTAGTTATGAACATAGGTAATACCTGACAACAGCGGCACCCTAGGCACCAAGAAATCACAGGTGTTTAGATATCATGGTATTTAGATCTCTGTAACAATTGGAAGTATTTCAAAATAAGTTAAAATTAGTCATTTTAAAATGACCACTAGGCCTATGTGTTAATAAAGTACATGTATATGTAACAAGTTTTTTATTAATGCTTTACCATTTGCATTTTAACATAATTTCCTTTGCAACCCTTCCTGTTCAGTGCTATGTACTAGAAAACATTATTCTGAGAAGGGGTTGGTAGGCTTCACCAGATTGCCAAAAGGCCCATGGTATGAAAAAGGTTACTAACACCTGCTTTAGACAAACAAGTCATTAACATCACAAAAAGAGAAAACTTTATAGTGAAATATATGAAGCAGACTTGAACACTTATGAATTTTGGGAACGGTATATCCTAACTGTACTTTAGAATATAATTGCTGTCAGGTGTCAGAAAATTCACACCAATTGTACTATTCAGCTTTGCACGAAGACTGCATTTCCCATTGCTTTATTCATCTCTATCACTGTATATACTTCCATCCCCAGACTCTAATCTAGGACAAGGAAAGATAAAGGAAGGAAATTCATTCTGATGATACTCAGAAGCAAACATGACTCAAGTGGCAACAGGAAGCAGGTGGGAGGGTTCAGGAGATACAGGGTATAGGGTCTGGGCTGGCAAGCCTAGGATCTAATGATGGTGATAGTGGTTTGAGAATTCAGCCCATATTGGGCGTGGGACCCATGTCATAGCGTCCTGATTGCTGGCAACATCCATGCTGAGACTGAGCCCAAGTGCAGGAGGACAGCCCACGTCATCTACGGCTTACCATCCAGAAGATGAGGCGACTGGAGAGCCTTACCTGGACGAGTCCAGAAGTATATGTAGAGTAAAATGAAAGCAAATAGGATTATTTGGTTAAGTCTGGGACAGGGGACTTCCCATTTAGGACAGGTTCTTCCCATTTAAGTTACTTGCAGTGGAAAGGGAAGTTTCCTTCCTATGACTGGAAAGCACACTGTCAAGTGATCACAGAAGTTACTAGAGTTTTGCTGGACTTGCCCCTTCTGGTTTATCCTCCACACAGCTGTAGGGTGAATCATCCTAAAGGAGTTACTCTCCTGCTTAAAACCTTCCTCCAGCTTCCCACCATGCTCAGGACCATGTCCACGTTATCTGATCTGCTCGGTCCTCTACTGCTGTGATTTATCTCAGTTTCCCAATGTTTGCAGTTGTCCACCCTCTTGCCTCTGACCACACTGGCCCTACTGCCAGGAAAACTGTTCCTACATTTTGGCTGGCTTTCCACTTACCTCCAGGTTTTAGCTGGTATATTACTTTCTTGCAGCGGTTACGTACTTATGTAAGTAGGTTGGTCCATACACAGATGCCAGTTACTTCTGCAGTGCTCTGTGTTTATCTGGGCATAGCCTTTATCACATCAGTAGTAATCTTGTCTTTTTTGACCTTTACCAACCTGCAACCAGGCAGAGTCTTGTTTGTTGTTGCAGTTCTATTACCTAGCACAGGGCCTACGCAGTATTACTGCCTTGGGTTGGTAGTGGCAGTGAATTCACTGAGAATGTTTTTATAGATTACTCCATAGGTTTGGGGAGCTAGTTTTGTCAACAAAGATCTAGAAGCCACTAGAGCAATGACTAACAATATATGGTCCTCAGAAGAACTCACAAAAATTACAATGGAGTTATTTTATGTATTTCAAAAATCACAAAAGAAATAACAAATTCATCTGACATAAAGTCAGGAGAGATTAATGAGGGATAAAATCATTTGCTTTACTAAGTCAACTCAGTAAAATACTAGGTGTCACATACTGATCAGCAATTCAGATTGGCTGGTGATATATCACAAGGATTTCTGAGGCAAGATAGACTAGATAATGTCATTAATTACTGACTTACTAAAAATATAGATCATCAATAAAAGGTATCATGAACTTTTTTGAAATTTGTGTTCCAATCATTCATTTTGGTGATTACTACTGCTGTTGGAATCTCTTGAATTAGTATGTCTCTTAGACCAGGGACCTGAACCAAGAAGGACCTTGGGAATCTAGATGTTTGATAGTGAGACTCAAGGGCCCGACATTATCAGGAAGATGCTTTCTGTATGGGAGGAAACCTAATGCCTTTCATGGAAGTAAGCTAAAGGGTTAAGATGTTAGGCGAAGGGGTCTGGAGACTCCATTTTGTGATTGTTAGAATTTTCAAGACTGAAACATTTCTTGTTTATGCCAAGTTGGGGGTGGT